AATAACTCAAACTAAAATGGAATAAAAACTATATGGACATAATTTTTTTTTTACAAAAACACAAAAAAATTACTAAAACTTTAACTAAAATTTAAATTTAAACAGAAAATCAAAAAATCTTATTCACAATAACACTGATTTGAGACTTTATAAACCATTTTTATGCACCATTATTGTAGCTGCAAACAGCAGCTCGAGGCAGTAGCAGCGCCAGGGTTATGGGTTCGATTGCAACAACTTATGGAAGCCGTTTCCGCCACTGGATAAAAAAAAGGTAATTGCAACTTTTCCCCTCAGAATTTCAGTTTATATCAAACAATTCTGGGGGGAATTTTGTATTCATATGAATCCATATGAACTGATCACATGTTTACCTTGAATTCAGTGCAAGTCGCTGTGGATGAAAGCAACTGCCAAATGTAAATGCATTTCTCCATTTCACTGCTGTCTTTCTGTGCCAACAGATGCCATCCTGCCAGACAGATCTTACATCATCTCATTAATAATGCAGACGATCCCACTAATGGCTCCACGCGCACGCATGCACACTCACACACACATACACACACAGTCACACACACACACGCACACGCACACACACACACACACACACACACACACACACACACACACACACACACTCTCTCACACACACACACACACGTGCTGTATTATATTCCATCATTCAGTCATGTTCAGTGTGTTTGCTCAGGCCTGCTGAGCACCCGCCGGTTTGTCCTCGCTCTGAGAGGAAAGGGAGAGGTCAGAGGTCACAGGAAGCGGCAGACAGTGAGGAGCGATGTAAGCGAGATCCTCCACTGCCAGTTTCCAGAGATCCGCGACACTGTTTCCACTGCAGCTTCCAACAGTCCAAACCCTGATCCCACATCAGCCTGATCGCTAGTGATGATCACTTCACCCAAAACCATTCAAAAATCAATAATTTCACTAAAATAACACACAATACTGTACATGCATGGAAATTTGGCAGCAGGTGACTTCCGGAAATCTGATAGTGGAAGCAAAACACAGCCAAACTCTTCCTGAGAGTCATTAGAGGAACACCAGATATAAAGATACCTGAAGATGCCGTGACACCTGCAGAAATGAGTATCTGTAGAGGTGAAGTTTCTCCATTCTTCAGATGGACAGACGAGGGTTTCTAGAAGGATCTACAATGTGTTGACCTGTTGATCACTCATCATTTATTCAGCTTTGAGCAGAAGCAGCAGCCCTGAAACAGGAAGTGACTCTGATAGAAATCAATCCTCATGTGCTGAATAAATGATACGCAGGGCACATCATGAGCTCATGCTGGGACGCTGGGCTCCTGCAATCAAACAGACTCTGTGTTGATCATTTTCATTTCACATTTATTAGAGATGTCCATTCAAAGGAAGAAGTGCTAAAACGTAGAGCATCAATAATAACTGATAATAATTGAGCAGCAGATCAGCATATTATACTGATTTCTGAAGATCATGTGACACTGAAGACTGGAGGAATGATGCTGAAAATACAGCTGCGCATCACAGAAATACATTTTACATACATCTGTTTAACACAGATTCACATAGAAAACAGATGTTTTAAATTGTAATAATATTTCACAGTATTAGTGTTTTTACTGCATTTTTAGTATAATAAATTATTAAATGATAAAATATATATATGCATATTCTATTATTTATTAATATTATGCACATATGCTTATTTCAAATATACATAATTATGCATAAAATATGCATGATATACAAAATATAGTTTAATTTGACATTCTTGATTTCTTCAGGAAATGGGTGTGAGTGTTAAGAGGTTCTTTAACAAGTTACCATGCGGTTGCTAGAGTGTTCTGTGTGGTTGTTAGGGTGTTGTTTGGTTGCTAGGTTGTTCTGTATGGTTGCTATGGCATTATGTGTGGTTGCTAAGGTGTTCTGTGTGGTTGCAAGGATGTTGTTTGGTTGCTAGGTGGTTGCTAGGCTGCTCTGTGTGGTTGCTATGGTATTCTGTGTGGTTGCTAGGATGTTGTTTGGTTGCTATGGCATTCTGTGTGGTTGCTAGGGTGTTGTTTAGTTGCTATGGCATACTGTGTGGTTGCTAGGGTGCTGTTTGGTTGTTAGGTGGTTGCTAGCATGTTCTGTGTGGTTGCTAGGGTGTTTTGTTGCTAGGCAGTTGCTAGGGTGTTGTTTGGTTGCTAGGCTGTTCTGTGTGGTTGCTAGGATGATGTTTGGTTGCTTGCGTGTTCTGTATGGTTGCTAGGGTGTTGTTTGGTTGCTAGGTGGTTGCTAGGATGTTGTTTGGTTGACAGGTGGTTGCTAGGGTGTCTTGTGTGGTTGCTAGGGTGTTGTTTGGTTGCTCTGATCCCACATCAGCCTGATCGCTAGTGATGATCACTTCACCCAAAACCATTCAAAAATCAATAATTTCACTAAAATAACACACAATACTGTACATGCATGGAAATTTGGCAGCAGGTGACTTCCGGAAATCTGATAGTGGAAGCAAAACACAGCCAAACTCTTCCTGAGAGTCATTAGAGGAACACCAGATATAAAGATACCTGAAGATGCCGTGACACCTGCAGAAATGAGTATCTGTAGAGGTGAAGTTTCTCCATTCTTCAGATGGACAGACGAGGGTTTCTAGAAGGATCTACAATGTGTTGACCTGTTGATCACTCATCATTTATTCAGCTTTGAGCAGAAGCAGCAGCCCTGAAACAGGAAGTGACTCTGATAGAAATCAATCCTCATGTGCTGAATAAATGATACGCAGGGCACATCATGAGCTCATGCTGGGACGCTGGGCTCCTGCAATCAAACAGACTCTGTGTTGATCATTTTCATTTCACATTTATTAGAGATGTCCATTCAAAGGAAGAAGTGCTAAAACGTAGAGCATCAATAATAACTGATAATAATTGAGCAGCAGATCAGCATATTATACTGATTTCTGAAGATCATGTGACACTGAAGACTGGAGGAATGATGCTGAAAATACAGCTGTGCATCACAGAAATACATTACAGTTTAACACATACTCACAGAGAAAACAGCTGTTTAACATTCTAATAATATTTCACAGTATTAGTGTTTTTACTGCATTTTTAGTATAATAAATTATTAAATGATAAAATATATATATGCATATTCTATTATTTATTAATATTATGCACATATGCTTATTTCAAATATACATAATTATGCATAAAATACATAAAATATGCATGATATACAAAATATAGTTTAATTTGACATCCTTGATTTCTTCAGGAAATGGGTGTGAGTGTTAAGAGGTTCTTTAACAAGTTACCATGCGGTTGCTAGAGTGTTCTGTGTGGTTGTTAGGGTGTTGTTTGGTTGCTAGGTTGTTCTGTATGGTTGCTATGGCATTATGTGTGGTTGCTAAGGTGTTCTGTGTGGTTGCAAGGATGTTGTTTGGTTGCTAGGTGGTTGCTAGGCTGCTCTGTGTGGTTGCTATGGTATTCTGTGTGGTTGCTAGGATGTTGTTTGGTTGCTATGGCATTCTGTGTGGTTGCTAGGGTGTTGTTTAGTTGCTATGGCATACTGTGTGGTTGCTAGGGTGCTGTTTGGTTGTTAGGTGGTTGCTAGCATGTTCTGTGTGGTTGCTAGGGTGTTTTGTTGCTAGGCAGTTGCTAGGGTGTTGTTTGGTTGCTAGGCTGTTCTGTGTGGTTGCTAGGATGATGTTTGGTTGCTTGCGTGTTCTGTATGGTTGCTAGGGTGTTGTTTGGTTGCTAGGTGGTTGCTAGGGTGTTCTGTGTGGTTGCTAGGATGTTGTTTGGTTGAGAGGTGGTTGCTAGGTTGTTGTTTGGTTGCTAGGTGGTTGCTAGCATGTTCTGTGTGGTTGCTAGGATGTTGTTTGGTTGCTAGGTGGTTGCTAGGATGTTGTTTGGTTGACAGGTGGTTGCTAGGGTGTCTTGTGTGGTTGCTAGGGTGTTGTTTGGTTGCTAGGTGGTTGCTAGCGTGTTCTGTGTGGTTGCCAGGATGTTGTTTGGTTGCTAGGATGTTGTTTGGTTGACAGGTGTTTGCTAGGGAGTCCTGTGTGGTTGCTAGGGTGTTGTTTGGTTGCTAGGTGGTTGCTAGGGTGTTCTGTGTGGTTGCTAGGATGTTGTTTGGTTGAGAGGTGGTTGCTAGGTTGTTGTTTGGTTGCTAGGTGGTTGCTAGCATGTTCTGTGTGGTTGCTAGGATGTTGTTTGGTTGCTAGGTGGTTGCTAGGGTGTTGTTTGGTTGCTAGGTGGTTATTAGTGTCCTGTGTGGTTGCTTACAGTAATGGTGATGCTTGTCTTAGTGCACGCTTCTCTTCTTCAGTTGGAAAGAGTTGTGTCGTGTTGTAAACTGTCATAAGGCTTTTGATTTTTTTAGATTTTCTTCAGCTGAGTGAAAATGAATGAGGAAGAACATCAGCTGGTTATCAGATGGACAGCTGGACAGAAAGCTGCTGTGGCAGCCGCTCGATAACAGTTCATCTGTCAGCAGCATTAAACTGTAAATCACAGAGTCTGACTGAAGCGGATCGATGCGAGCACAGAAGAACGGAATCAGTGTGACTTTATCAGACATCAGGAGCGAAGAGGAAGAGCTGCTGTTTGAAGAAGTTACACAACCAGCTTCAGAGGGCCATTCAGGTGCTTCATTAACGGGGGAATGTGGTTTCTTCCAGATGGAATCAGATAAAGAAGAAGTTTTCTTCTGTGTCATCTCTACATCATTCACACACTTCCATTTGTGTCATTTCACACTTTTCATCATTGCTGTATTATTATTGTACATTATACATGCGGGAAAGTGTAAATGTATTAGTGAAAGTACTTTATGTGATAAGTTGTAACAAAATCAAATAAGAATCGTATTTGGTTAGTGTTGTTTTTGTTTCACCAGAGGAAATATTTCATGTTAATTTTTGCATGCCCCTGTGTGCTGATTGGACGCGGGCGGCTGTAGCCCCGCCCCCACGTGTCTGTGTTTCATGGCAGTCCGGATCTCACACACACACACACACACACACACACTCGCGTGAAACACAGCAGAGACACACACACGCCGTGATCTCCGTGAGTGTGTTCGGGATCTGATGGATGATGGATGTGAAGGACTGTGGCGGAGTGATTCTGACTGCGTTTCATTCATTCAGGATCCACGCAGATGAGCAGAAACACGCAGCAGACACCAGGTCAGAGACACACACACACACTCACACACACAAGTAACGCGAGTTACGCAATCAGATCACTTTTTTCCCAGGTAAGGAGTAAAGTAACGCATTACTTTTTAATTTACAAGGAAATATCTGAGTTACTTTTTCAACTAAGTAACAGCAGTTACTTTATTTCCCGTGTATTGGCTGAAGCTGTGCTGTGCTCATGTAGAGAGAATCAGGAGTGAGTGCAGATGCGCTGTGTGAACATGCTACTGTAGAGCTGGACTAAATGTCAGCATGCATTTACTCTTCATCACACCTGCACAAAAACTGATTCAGTATTCCTCAAAATCAGTAAAAACAGTCAAATGCAAACCTGCAATAATTAAATGTGATAACACAAATATCCTTTATGCATTTAATCTCATTTTATTATTCAGTGTCTTTGCTGCTGACCTTCGATGATCCAGCTCAACAATAATAAGCAAAAATGACTTCAGATAAACATAACATTTGTGTTTAATTGCCTTTTTTAATTGCTAAAAAGAGAAAAATGAGCCCAGCCCAGATGAGAAAAAGTAATGCAAAAGTAACATAACACATTACTTTTCATGAAAAGTAACTAAGTAACACAATAAGTTACTTTTCTTAGGGAGTAACAATATTGTAATGCATTACTTTTAAAAGTAACTTTCACCAACACTGGCTATAACACACACACACACACACACACACGCTCACTCACACTCACTCACTCACTCACACACTCACTCACTCACACACACACACACTCACTCACTCTCACACACACAAGCTCACACACACCCACACGCTCACTTACAAACACACACACACACTCACTCACTCACACGCACACTCACTCACACACACTCACACACACACTCTC